AAATTTAGTATTTTCTAACTCTGCTTTTTTCTTTTCTTTCTTTCTTTTTATTCTATCCCAACAAAACCAAAACTGTATCTGGAATGTGAGGTGTCGCCCTTATCTTTCCTGTTTCAGTGTAGCTTCTATACCTTAAAAAAGTAAAGCTTGAATATAAGGTTACATTTTAATTTTATGAAATGAAAAACTTAACATTTCTAAATGGCAACACTTTATAGTTTTTGTAATCTTCAAAGACTTATGTCTCTTTAAATAAAATACTTAACACTGAACACATGTATACCTATGCAGTATATAAATTATAGAAATGTTATTTTCTTTATCATCTAACTAGGAGCTAATGCTTATGCTACCTATATGCTTCATTTATATTCAGATGATTCTTCCAGCTCCTCTGACTGTGAATTAGAGAAGTTATTTATACAATATCCAAGGATAGAAAGACACAACCAGATTGTATCTCTAAAAACAGTTGCTTTGGGGAGTTTTGTGTACAAGATATTTTTTGTGTAACTTGAATTTTATTTTTACTTACCTTTTTTGTTTTTAATCACAGTTGTAGTGCCATCACATCAGAAAAGTTTATAAGCTGTGCCTTTGTAGCAGCTAATCTCTTGTTTGGCTTTTTCCTGCTACTCTATAACATCTTTTCCTCTTAACTATACTTTCCTTAGAGTTGCTGCCCAAAACAATTTATAAAAATCCTTTTAAAATGTTCAAACAATGCCTAGTTTAAAAAAAAAAAAAAAAAAAAGATTAAAATTGTGATGCTTCATTCAGGATAAACTATAAGGTATTTCATAGCTGTTACCAGTTGCCTGCTGTGTCCCTGGACTGCGTAGGCCCCGTAGGCCAGGATGGTTACTGTTGCAGATGCTGTAACATACCACCCGGATCCCTCTGCAGGATGGAGGCTCTCATTCCTCCAGCAGCTGGGATTGTTGGCAGTTGATGGTTCATAGCTGAGTCCCTCTGGTAATTACCCTCAAGTGAAGGGAACTTCATCTTCACCTAAGATTCTTCACTCCTCCCTCTTGCGAGCAGAATGTATCCATTGACTGGCAGATGCAGTGACGTAAAGGCCTTATCTCCTAGTTTCAAGGAAGAACAACTCTGCAGGGCTTTTCCAGCTCCAGTCTAATCCAGGGATCCATCGGAATCCTCTGTTGTAACTGCATCGTAGTGCAACTCCTCTGTTCCCGAACGTCCTGCTCTTTCCCACAGGTGTTGGTCTCAAAGACACTCTTCAGTAAATTCCCTTGTGCAGATCTCTCTTTGAGAACCTCTTTCCTAGGAAACTCAACCTATGACAGTGGCTCCGTTGGCGGCAGGGGAGAGGTGTGGGCTCAGTTTGGACATGGAGGTTGACATAAACCATTAAATCAAGTGCATTATGTTAGTGTCATAGGAGAACCATGATGCAATCTTATGGGAATAGAAGGAATGACTTACTGAGCTTGGAGTATAGCAGAGGGAGAATTCCGAAAGGTTTCGCAGAAGCGGTAACATTCGAGCTTAACTTTGAAGAATGAATAGGTATTCTCTAGGCAGAGAAAATACAATGTGGAGTAGTCTGGGCTTGTAGACAACGTAGCTTATGGAAGATGTGAAAGAGAGCTCCGTGACAGCTGGAAGGTGGGGTCCGCGGGGAGAGCAGGGATCGATCCAGAGTTAGCTCATGAAACACTCTACTGCAGGTGAAGGTTCCTACGCCAGAGTCCACTCTTCCCTCCTGCCTCCCCGTGGTCCTCATGGGACCCCCACTCCACATGCAAGTGCGATTTGAGCAGATGTCCTCAGTGACATCCTTCTTCCACTCTTTTGCTTAAAGACTTTCTTTGGCTTTGTTTTCTTAAAAAGCATGTATTAACCATTTTATTTTAACCTACTTTAGAAACTATGAAAACTGCATCTTTTCATCTGGCTTTAAAATAAATACTCTTCTATAAATAATCTTCTCTAAGAAGACACAAAGATCATACATGATGCTTGAAATTCTGCCAGTAGCAGTTTCTGGAATTCCAATTGAAAGGACATAGTAAAGGTTACAAAGTCCCGTATTGTAGCACATGAATCCTTGCAAATCTCAGATGAGCAGTAATCCAGTTGTTTCTGCTATCTATCCAGTAATGGAAACATTGGCCTTTTCCTATTGTTGTGAACATTGATGAACCACGGAGTGATAACATTGCAGAGTTAGAGTTCATCATTGTTTTACAGACAAGAAAACTGCAATCTAGAAAGAAGAGATTGTTTACCCGAGGCTGTACACTGCATGTTGGCAAAGCCAGGGGATAACTCAGTTTTTGTCTAGCAACTTTACCTCTCTGTAGCTACATAATGAATCCATCAGATCCCTGTCTGAAGGATACCAGTGCCACCTCTGTCCCTGTTGAACTCAATGACTCAGGTCCAACTGCATCAGTACTTCAGGTCTGTTTTCTCACCTGTGAAATCAGAGGCCTGGGCTAGGGGAACACTCAGTGCCCTCGTCCCTGACGTTGTAAGAGTCCATCCTTTCTCTAATAGAAGATATGCCACAGGGTCCTACTGGGCCAACTGAAGACCGAAGGGAAAGAGTACAGTGAAAGGAGCCATCCAGACAAGGTTCATGTGCCCTTCACCATTTGCTAGCACAAGCTAACAGTCAGCTGCATTCTTCGAACCTATGTTTTCTGATATTTGGGCATTTCCCAGGGGTCTCACTTCAGGCATATTTTGCACTGTTTTGCCTTTGTAGAAGAAATGTTCAGATTACCTGTCCTTTGGACCGTGATCCCATAGACCATGAAGAATTTCCTTAGAAACTGACTCAACCCTATATACTGTTGATGGTTTTAAGCAAATGAGCTGAATCTTGCGGCCAAGCCTCAGTGCAAACAAAAACATTTTCTGGTCAGGCATTTTCTGGTTTCTTCAACTCCATGACAGACTGCCTTAAAAAAAAAAAAAAGTTAAAACCCACAGAAGAACAAAACACAAGTCCCGAGAAGACAGTTTCCAGCCGCACTAGCTAGATCACCGGGGTAGAAAGGGGCAAGGCCCTCCTCGTCCAGACCATCTTTGTCTCCAGACTCTCATCTGATGTGTTCCTGCTATTTTAACTTCACCACTTTAAAATAAGGGGTGGAGGGAAGAGGTTAATAGTTTCCATGGGTTCAGATGTGCCCAGAGGCGCACTAAGCAATTTCAGAACCCCCAGCAACCGCAGCTGTGAAGAAAGGATGGCGGTGGATTTACCAGTTCATCCTGGGAAAGATCTCTGAGTCAGGGGTATCAGGCAAACATGTAAACAATGTTCCGTCCTTCGTTCTTCTAGCACACATTCATCCTGGGCTTCTTTTGATCCAGGTAGTGTACTAGGTATACTATGGGGCAGAGAAATACATTTTTAAGACATAGTCCCAGCCCTTAAAGAAACCGCAGTCTAGTAGAGGAAATAGACATATGTGCAAATACCACGAATGCAGTGAACACCATAGGAGCTGCAAGCAAACTAAATTAAGTGCTCAGGAAGGGGAGGGACAGAAGCAGTTTATTCCCAATGAGGACATCAAGGAAAGTGTCATTGTGGAGTTGCCTTCTGATCCAGACTGAACGGTCAAAATGGCAAATTGCAGTTAATCCCAGACATTAGCCAGTGCACAGGGGTATGGATGTTTCTCATAGGACTGAACATGTGTGAGCCGTCTGAGACACTAGGGAGGCTGACGGTCAGATACGAAACTAGCTCTTTTTACACTGTGGAGCCATCTACGTTTTTGCTGACAAGAAAATTATTTGGTCACGTCTGTGGTTTGGAAAGGAAACTGGAAGTCACTTTGGGGACAGGGAAGTATTACAGAAAAAGAGAGATGCAAATAAGGAAGCCCATCAGAGACCATTCTGTAGTCGAGACGTTAGCACACTTGTTATCCACGCACAGGCACGTCTTACCTGATGACTATGTAAAAGTCCTCGTGGTGAGAGGACAATTGCTCCTTAATGTCTACATCCAGTTCTGCATCTTTCTAATCAGATCCCCACCCCAGGTTGATTCTAGATTGTAAGGTTAGTGAGTCAGTCTATACATCTCCGTTGGAATATAGCATAGTACATGTGAACCATGGTTGTTTAGTAAGAGAACATGAAATTTTAGGGAAGGATGAGACGTTTACAGCTCATTTCATCTTTCTGAGTCCTGACTCAGTAAACAGTATCCTCCCGAAGGAGGACATGTATTTTTAAAGCTCAGCATATCTTTAAAGCCAGATAGATTAGCTTGCTTAATTGACTTCTCAAAACTGGAACCCCTCTAGGTTCAACATTTCCACGAAGAGTTTCCAATACGAAGCTCAGAGATGGTGTTGGAAGCAGGGCTTTACCTGATCAGAAGCCCCACCGAGTGAGCTGTGACTGGGGTTTGCAGCTGGCATGCTCTGTGTGTCCTGGTTATCAGCCAGACCACTCGCTAAAATGTCAGGATCCTTGGTGACCCCTCTAGGTCTTTGATGATGAAGCAAGTTTTAGAAGTAATCCTGAAGGCTTCTTCTAGTGGAGAACCTGGGTTGGATAGTTCAGGGGTCATCAAATTACAGCATGGACTTTTGTATATAAAACTTTATGAAAACACAACCACGCCCATTTGCTTATGGACTGTCTAGGGCTGCTTCCCACTACAGTGGCAAAATCGTGCTGTTGGAAAAAAGATGGAAATAGTTACCCTGTGGGCCTTTACAGAAAAGTTTGCCATCATCCTGCCTGTAGCGGAAAGGAACAGGGCAGGAGTCAGAAGGCGTGTGTGAAATTCAGCACTTGCCATCTATTACCTGGGTGACCCGAGAAAACCCCCTTGACCCATTTGATTGCACTTCCTTCTCTCTATAATAAAGATTATGAAAGTACGGGCTGTGATGCATCCGAGCCGGTGTGTTCTGTGACCGTGCTCTCATGCTGTGAGTTACTGATGAAGTGAAACGCCTCGAGTCCCAGCCTGTCACTGGCCTTCTTTCTCCCTGCAGAACACCCTGGAGCAGTGCAGCGTGTGCTCCAAGCCCATCATGGAGAGGATCCTCCGAGCCACCGGCAAGGCCTATCATCCTCACTGCTTCACCTGTGTGATGTGCCACCGCAGCCTGGATGGGATCCCTTTCACCGTGGACGCCGGAGGCCTCATCCACTGCATCGAGGACTTCCACAAGTAGGCAATCTGAGCCCCTCCTGCAGCCTGCCAGTCTCTGTCTGTTCTCATTGCCTGGCACCTGGGCCGCTCAGCCTTCTCTCTCCGCACTATCGAGCCTCAGGACTGGATGGGACCTTAGAAAAATGTCCCGATTCCTCTCATGCATCGCAGGAATTGGTATCAGGTGGTCCCCGTGGTCTTGCCCGCCTGGCGCCTGCGTCACAGCTTCCCTGTGGCTTGTTCCTGGCATCTTTGTGTGGCTCTGATTGTGAGCAAGCTCATTCATACCTAGGATTTGTGCTGGAAAGAGGCGGGATCCTGGGCTAGCCCTCCCTGGCCCAAACGTGAACAAGATGTACGACTTGGAACAAATCCCCAGTTTCTCTGAGCTCTTGGACTTGGTCATTAGACCAGAGCCCATCTTCAAACTCTCTAAATGCAACAGCCCGGGATTCTCTCTAGAGTCCGGGGTTCTCTCTAGGTCCTGCCACTCTCCAGACAGGAAATCATGGGGCACAGACACAGAGGACGACTTGGTCCTCAGTGAGGCAAGCCTCTCACATACTCAGGGGCAGCTTAATACTTTGGTCAGCACATTCATACCGGCCCCTCACCTCTTCTCCCACCTGGTCTTCGCTTCCGCGGGATATTTTTTAATAAAATGAATGAATGCAGAACTGTGCAGTCTTTTGAGAAGGACTAGAAAGTAGAGCCTCAAGGTCAAGGGCACTTACTCATGGGCCTGGAAAAAGATGTCCTCACTTCCTCAATTCTTTCATCACAGGTCTCTCTTTCGTTTATTACAGCTTGGGTTTTCATGAAAATTGCACGGTGTTTCTGTTTTGCTTGTTTTCACTTGACCACTTTGTTAGTTGGTTACTCGGTTGGTCGCATTTCTGAACGTATTTTTAGGAACCGTACGAAAGCTGAGATGTGATTTGTAGACAGGGACACAGAGGCTTTCTAGACGATGTTTGCTGGGCACTGGCTTTCCAGCCTGAGGCTCAGAGAGACGGCGTGAGCTGGTGGGGCCCGCCAGCTCGGGAATCCGTTCTAGGGCCCCCAGATGTGCAGTCTTGTGGGTTCTCACCGCTCTGTTGACTGTCAACAACCAGGAGGTATTTGCCACAAGCAGCTGGGGGACCTGAGACTCATAGTTTAAAAATGAATTCTCCGACCACTTTCTAAGTAGCAAAGAAAGTGAAAACCTCACCCACAGACGCGAGGCCGAATGAATTAAAAAGCCCCAGAGGCAGAAATGCTCCACCTGAATGAGACGAGGAAGGGCTGCTTTGAAAGGGCAGGCAGAGCATACACCCTCTTCACGTTGTTGATATTTTTAGCTTGTAATTACACGTGGAAAAAGAAAACCTGCATCTATTTAAGGGAACTGAAAAGATACCAATGGGGAGTATGTTCCTGTTCCCTGCTTCTCTCCTTTCTTAGACTTACCCCAATCCAGGAAAGACTGATAGATCTAATCAGAGCACACGTTTCTGTGGCTGAAAAAGAATGATATATTACGCCCTCGATTAAAACAGGAAATCAGTTCTGACAAATGTAAGTTTATCTTTCATCTTTGCATTTATCTTTCATTTCTAGAAGTGGGAAACATAATTAGAGACTTGCAACTGGTGACGTAAGAGTGTGCCTGAATGTCCCAGAAAAGCAGATTTGAGCAACTGAAAAGGAAAATAATCTCAAGCCCCCAGTGTCTCCCCACCACCCACCACCACGAATTCAGTGGCATGTTAAAACACAAATTATTTTTAAAAAATAATGTCTGTATGATTAGCAAGTATTTAGGAAGGGAAAGCTCTCCCCATTCCTCAAAGAAAAATATGAGAAAATTTTACAGAACTCTGTCTTGAGCCTTGAAACTACTGGGACACAAGGCAGCTGAGACGTCCAGCCCAGGGTGATACACAAGACGAAGGAGCGAGTAGTCTTAGGGGAGTGCACCTCCTTCTGCAAACAGTGTTTTGGGGACTTGTTTTTGGTCAGTCTGAACTGGGCTCCCATTGTGAGCTTTTCGGAAATGTATTTTAATTCAATTCAACCTCTCTACAAAGAGCTTTCTGTGTGCTCATTACGGTACTAAGTAGTGCGAAAGGAGAGAGATACAAGGGGAGAAATTGCATAGGTTGGAATTGCACAGATACCGAGGGAAATGCCTCTGTCAGCAAGGAGCTGGTCAGGAGGAGGGTGTGGAATATGTGATATCGGGCAGGAAGGGCTCACAGCCAGGAGAGAGGCAGAGGCAAAGCTGGAGCCACAGTCAGAAGAGATCACTTGGTGCTGGGCTCTGAACAGGCTTCTGAAAGCAGAACTTCAAGAGGGTTTTAAGTGGGAAACACGGAGATTCCTGGCAGAAAGGACAGCCCAGGCAATAAATAAGGGAACGGCGTTAGGAAAGGCTTCTCTACGTCAAGGAAGATTTGCTTGGCTCCAACTAGAGCAGCCTAGGAGAAGACATTCCCAGGAGATAGAAGGGGCCCACGAGAAAGGATTTATTTTGCCTGCGTACAGTCCTGTCTTTTTAACCAGGGCTGCCCAAACTGCAGTGTGCTTACAAGCCATTGGGGGATCTTATTAAACTGCGGATTCTAATTGAGGAGGTCCTGGGTGGGCCCTAGGGTTCTGCATTTCTTAGAAGCACCCAGGTGGTCTTGGATTGCTCTTTGAGTAACAAACTTCTGAAATACTATTTTTGAGGCCTTGTTAATGGGTCATTATTCCCTATGTAACCACCTTCAGTCAAGGCTGGCGCAAGCCCTCCAGCCTATTAGGTGGGAACTCTTTCCCATATTGGCATTTCAGAGGACTACTGAAGACTCAGTCCTGGGCAGACTGACTGTATCTCCCCCAAACACACACACACACACACACACACACTTTCCCATTTCAACCAAAAGACCATCTTTCAAGGCACAACTTAATTGCCATCTCCCTGAGAAGCTTCCTCTGATCTCAATCTCTGCTTATCCCCATGTTTCAATTTATATCCCCTTCTGGCTGTAGATAGCGCTCAACATAGTCTGGCTAGTAATAAAAAACACACATGCATGCACACATACACCCCTCCTAAAAAGGGACTGCCTTAAATGACTTTTGCAGTATGACAGGATATGTATATATAAATTAATAGAACAAGTGCAGAAACAGGTAGAACTCTCTCACCTGTCTGATTGCCGGAATCCTAATTTACATCTGTATGCCCAGTGCCCATACAGTGAGCCCAGAAAAGCAAGCCTATTTAACTGACCCTTTCATTGTGTGGAGCTTTTATTCCACGATCTGGGCTTTCTTATCATGAGCCATGTACTTGCTCGTCAACGCCCATTTGTTGATTGCCAGGAATGTGCCAGGACACAGGATGATCAAGACCATCTTTCCCTGAGCCTTGGCTCCTGTGGCTGCAAAGTAAAAATGATAGAAGTAGCTCCTCATCACCTTTCTGTCGGTAGAAAATAAGGTCAAGTGCCTAACAGGGCTTGGCACGTAATAAGCACTCAATAAATGGTCGCTATTTTAGCCATCAAAGTGTTATCAAATTTATTTTTATTATTATTATCGTCTGCTCACTGAGCTGAACCTTGAAATAGACCACCTGGGATTGTGAACAATCCTTGAAATATTGGTCGAGGAACACTGTGGGGACTGTGGAAACCACTTCCTGTCTCTCCACTTACTTCTCATCGTAGAAATGCGGCCACTTGGGAGGAAGGAATCGTTACTCAGCAAGAATACAGTTTATGCCCTGGCTGGTTTGGCTCAGCGGTTAGAGCGTAGGCCTGCGGTCCAGAGAGACCCAGGTTTGGTTCCCACTAAGGATACGTACCTCGGTTGTGGTTTGTCCCCGGCCCTGGATGAGTCATGAGGGTGGCAACCACTCGACGTGTCCCTTTCACATCAATGTTTCTCTCTCTCTCTCTCCCTCCTACTCTATCTGAACAAAAAAAAAGAAAGGAAAAATGTCCTTAGGTGAGGAAAAAAAAAAAAGAATACAGTTTATGCCTTTCCAAAGAGGAACCACCTTGAAATGGAACATGAAGGCCCAAGTAACATGTTTATTTAGAGATAAATATGGCAGATACTTCATTTCATTAGATATAGCCTGGATTTCTGCTGTCTGCTCCAGTCACCATGGTTGTTTTGAGGAACTCAGAGATGGAGAAAATCCTGTCTTATGGAAGGTCACGTTTAGTGGTCGCCAAAGATATGCAAATAATTCCTACTATAATAAGCATATGCAATGAAATATTCTAGAGCAAGTAACCCTGCTTAGGGAAATTGGGTAAAGCTCATGGATACAGTGATGGGCAAGACATACTTCTGACCTCACAGGAAACTTCGCAGTTGATTCTAGAAACCTGCACATATCACTGCTGGTGACCCAGATTCAAAAATAATCAGATAGTCCAAAGCAATTTTTTTTTTTTATTTGCCACCAAGTATAAACTTCTTGCATTAAATACCAATTATAACAACTCTGATTACTGCCGCAGTTGTACCATGGTCCTTTTAATTTTTCTTTCATAGCAATCAATTGATCTGCTGCTTAATTCATATTTATTTAGATTGCAGCCATACAGATGTCTTTTGGGTGCTGCCAGGAAAATTAATATGTACATATAGAGTATAATCTATGTAAAAATGCTTTGACAACCATAAAGTGCTCTGCAAAGTATTAGATTACGATCATTATTTCTTTGTAAGTCCCACCACAAATAAATTAATTTTAACATCATCAACCTTAAAACCATTACCATGAGTAAACAAAGTTGCACAGTCTGCTTTTCATTTTTTTAATCTTTTCACTTCTTATCTATGCCTATTGCAAATCATGTCTCATTTCATGCCTTAACAAATGACACCTCTAATCTCCAGGAGATACGGATGGCTATATGGTCTATATTTGCATCTTATTAATCTGTTATGGAAGAAAAATGTTAGGTTTATAATCATAGTAAGGAATATTAAGAAATTAAGAAGTATTAAAATTCCTCACCAACAGTTAACCACAAAATCACACACATTTGTGTATGTAAGTGTCAGTATATATGTGTTCACACACACTTCCCTTTCGAAAGTGCTAAAATTCTTTAAAGAATAAAGAACTTAACGTTTTAACTTTCTTTTTTCCAAACAGAAGTTTAACACGACCAGAATGTGAAAAGTACAGACTTGTCCATAGTCTGGTGTGAAGACTATGTAAACTCACTAACCTCTGCTATTTTGATAAATAGTCATTTGAAGTTTAATACCTAGAATTCAAGACACATTTCAAAGAAAGAGGTTCTAGTAAGGGGTAATGAGGCAAAGTTCCCAGGCTCGGAACGGTTAGGTCAGGCCTAGGAAACAGGCAAAAGTCTAGAAGCAAATGCCCGAGACAAGTAGAGACCTCCAGGACTTATATTCTCCCCTCTGGTGATCCTGCCCAGGCCCAGGGTTCGTGTTTGACATCTGTGCACAGGTGAACTCCATGCCACGCAGCACATGGCCCAGCGCTCCTAGGTGGTCTCATGCACTCACTCCCCCACCTCGTCCAGTATCATAATATGTATGATCTATGAGGACCTCAGTAGTCACCGGTCTAACTCCCTTGTTTTAGAGCTGACGAAGCAGATCCAGAGAAAGAAAATGACTTGCTCAAGGTCACAGAATGGTAGATCAGATGTTTTCTCGGTTTACACCTTTTATTCTTTTATTTCTCTCTTTATGCCTTATCTCTTTGGCATTGTCTATGCTCAGTATCTAACCAAAACAATTTCTCCACTTTCAGGAAATTTGCCCCCCGATGTTCTGTGTGCAAGGAGCCTATCATGCCAGCCCCTGGCCAGGAGGAGACCGTTCGGATTGTAGCTCTGGATCGTGACTTCCATGTTCACTGCTACCGGTGTGAGGTCTGTGGTCTGCACCCCCAAACCAAGGGCAGGCATTGGGAGGCCCATGCGAGCCAGGTGTCCACAAACATAGCGATTATTAAATCTGGGGCGGCCCTGAGTGCCTGTGTTCACAGGACTTGGGTTTTAGATCTGACATGGGCATTTAATGCTAATGATGTTGGATAAGTGACTTTACCCCTCCCCCCCCAATTTCCACACCTGTAATGAGGACTCATTCTTATCTTTCCCAAATATGGCTGTGTGACTAAATTCAAATTTGCATATTAAAGGACCCTGGAAATCGCAAAGTGCTAAGTTAACGGGAAAAGTTATTGCTGCCGTTATTATTGTTGTTGCTATTGCTACGCTGTATCTTTAACTTTGTCTCTGATACTCCTGTGGGACAGAGATGCCATGGTCACTCACTGAGAAGGATAAGTGGTGGTTCCTTTCAGAGGGGTTGGGACTTCGTGTTCAGCCTCCTGGAGTTCGCCAGCACTGACTGAGCACCTCCCAGAGGCCAGGCGACTGCTAGGGGCTGCAGGAGGGTCATGCACCAGGCGCCATGGGAATAGATCCTCACAGCAGCTGTAATCCAGGCTTCTTGCCCCAGGGACATGTCGTCGTGTATACAGCAAAGGGCAGCCAGTCTTTCCCCTATTATCTAGGTCTCAAAAGGCCGCCACGTTCAGAACATGATTTTGAAACATTTTCTTATCCTGGTTCTGTAAACTCCCCAGACCTCCTCTTTTGGAGCAATTTTCCTACTTTCTAGCTCTCCTGAGGACAGCGGTTTGCAGCGGCCTCTGCTATCTGAGTTAGCTCACCCAGCCCCACTAAGGAGCCCTCCCCAGACCCAGACGCTCCGGGGACCGCTCCCAGCCCGCTCGCTGCCTGAGCTGTGACTGGGCGCCTGTTTTACCCACCGGGCTGGGTGTCGTCCTCGGACCCGCCGCGGCCTTAACGTGAGAAAACAACCAACTTTTACGTAAGCTTTTATGACTAAAAATGAACAACAGTGTCCAGCCATCACCTTTAAAATTGACCTGAACTGTAAATGTATAAGAGCTGGTGGATAATTTAGAGCTCCTTTTCCAGATGGGGAAACTGAGGCTCTAAGAAGTAAGGGTTCCCGACATTTCTCCCACACACGCCAGTGGGCTTTGACTTTTAAAGGGTTTTTTATACTAACAGTTGCATAGAATGTACCTTTCCTCCTTCCAGATTAAATGGCAGCTGAACAACTTCCATTTGCTTTAAAATGCTGAGAATTTCTTTAGGAACAATACTGTAGAATGGGAGAAACGTGGACTTAGAAGAGAGGACACCGTTGTTCTGGCCACTGCATCACACTGGACAGACAAATCACTTCCCTCTCTGCTCCTCACCCCCTTCTCTAAAATGAGGGGTTGCAGGGGATGCCCCCTCTGACTCCTTTTGGCTCTGAGATTCGAGGCATTGCTAGTCCCAACACTGTGGTTGCCTCTGGGCTCTTCAGAGTGCCCGGGCGACTGTAGATGTTACTTCATTAAATGCTTTAAACTGCATCCTTTTTAAAATGTCCTTCTTGCTCTCTGTTGTGCTGAAGAGGCTGGCTCTGCTGCTCAGTTTCTTGCATGCCTATAGAGCTGCAAAACACTTGCTCGTCCGTTTTGGTAAAGCCTCCCTTTCTGTGGAGCCCAACTAGTGCCTTGTGCTGCTGCTGTCGCATTCTCGGCGACACCCTGTTTGAACCTAAATCTCATGATTTGCCAAATGCAGACGCCTTATGACCTCCTTGCTGTCCTGGTAGACAGCAGAGGCGGGGCATGCAGCAGCCGTGGCATTTTCAAAGTGAAGTTAGCGAGGGCACGCACCTCTAGAGGAAGCATGACTTTTTTTTTCCCTAAAGAAACTTCAGTTTTTTCCCAAAGTAAGGGCCAACATTTAACTGTTATTTAACACTTTCTGAAATGAACCCTCAGAGGTGCTACCAACAATATGATTATTTACTGGTAGGTAGCTCTTTGCATTTTTTCCCCAAGTACGTTCATAGCCACTATCTTCTTTGATCCTCCCAACAGCTTGGTAAGGTAGGAAATGCAGGGATTGTTTTAATTAAGAGGGGCAGTCACCCTTACCCACAGTGACACAGTCAGTGTCCGAACCAGGAGGGCCATCTCTCAGTCCAGCATTCACCCTCCATTGTGATGTCTCCTTTACAAGGCACAACAAACCTTACTCTCCACAAACCTTAGGATTTTATTTGTGCTACAATGGGGCTAAGTATGCAGAGCCCATTGGTGGTCCTTCTCTTCGTCGGGAGCCACTAGAGCTTTGCTTTTGCCCAGAAATGGCCAAGAAATTCCTTCTGAGGGATCCTTAAACTGATGATAAAAGGTAACAATAAATGAGTGGTTAAGGATCTGTTTTATCATCTCTTGTTCTTGCTATTGTCATTTGGGTTAGGGAACAAAGCTTCCATTTGAGACCCCAGAGGTTTGGATTCTTCTCTTCCTGAACCTGTATTTCCTATTTAATTGAGGAGGGTTAAATAACCCTTAGGAGGGTTATTTTACCATGTTTATATATATGTCTTTAATATCTAATGCAATTGTATTCCAGACACACTGTTTACTGGGGGTGGGTTGGAAGGGCGTGGTGGTATGTGCAGTAGGAAGATACGTGGCCACCTTCTGGAGGCCTTGAATGGGAAGCTGAAGAATTTGATCTTCACCTGTGTAGTTTCCATGTTCACTTACATCATTTCCATCTGGCTTTGCTCTCCTAGGATTGCGGTGGTCTCCTGTCTGAGGGAGATAACCAAGGCTGCTACCCTTTGGATGGACACATCCTCTGCAAGACCTGCAACTCTGCCCGCATCAGAGTGCTGACCGCCAAGGCCAGCACCGACCTTTAAGCTCAGTGGCCTGTTCAGCGGGTTAGTAGGTGGCACTGAAAAGAATGAAACACCAACAATCAAGTAATCCTTCCACGCAATAGGAGGAGAGAAGAAAGGCATTCAAGCTATGGGATGGTCTCTGTTCTTCATGTAGTAGTAACCTTTCTGTAGAAACACATAGATTATGAGATTTTTAAAAACATGCTTGCCAACTACACATTTCACATTTAATTATGTAGGACCTTGATGGGCCTTTGTTCCCAAGGACTTCCACATTTTTGCACGGATTATGCTCCATCCCATTCACTTCTGCATTCCTGTAACCTTTAATCCCTGTGTTTGTCTCACTTTTCATCTGGTTGAATGGCTTTTTTTAGCGTGGGATTTGCTGTCACACAGATTTCCCTGGGCAAGTCTGCCAACTCACAGGTGCTTTTAGGCTTGAAGTCTCTCCATCCTATCATGTCCACGTCGCCTGTGATCACAGAGCAGAGCCATTCTTTCTTTGTGTACTGAAACGTATATGTTTTTGTTGCTATAAACTGGTCATGTCTCTTGGGGGGAAACATATGCCACTTATATGTTAGGCTATAAAGAATTTAAGCTGTAAGTCACATAGGTTCAAACAAGCCCAAATTTGTAAACATCTAAATCAAGATCTATAATGACCAGTTGTCAGGGCTCATTTGAAAACAGATATTAGTGAAAGAGATCGAAACATCAGTCTTTTTCTAAAGAAATTGCAGGTGAGATATGCTGGAAAGAGCATTTTGGGAGTATGTTTGAAAAGCCCATTATTATCCTACAATATCATCTTACCATGTCCCTTTTCCGTACTGCCTGGACACAGTGCAGACAAACTTGGTTGTCCCTTGAATATAACATTTTCTATATTGCGCCACTTTTCATATCAGAAATGTTGGGGTTTTTCCTAATGTTAAACATGACTACCAAAATTGACTTTGTCTTTGGTGAATGATAGCTTTAACGAGCAGTTCAATACCCCTCTCCCCAGGCCCAGGTCCTTTTTTTCCTGATAATTGCAAATCAGGGCACACAAGATAAAATTGTGTAGTTTTGTTTGGTTTACTTTAAAAAGACAGGAAAACTTGAAAAGATTGTGAAGCTGCAGTTTCATTATTCTCTTAATGCTTCTGCAACTCAAATTACATATTACAGGAGACATTTTCATACCATCGATGTGACATTTACACCATACTTGCAAAGACAATCACTGAAAAAAAAAACTGCCTTTCTGAGCTAAAAATACGCAGAGTCTCTGCCTGGGATCTTTATTCAAACTCTCCTGGGCAGTGAATTGCTGGCTTGTCAGCTGCAGAACCGTTTCACTCGGTTCTAAGTTGTTTCTTTGAAGAAGAGACACCTACCTTAATAATGGCAGGTTGCCGATTTTTAAACTAATTAAGTATTTCGGATTGCGATTTCTTAAACCTTTCTTCAAATCCTCCACAAATATATACTTTTAAATTATGAAGTATTTTAAATATACACAAAAGTATAAATAATAATATAATGAATCCTTATATATGTAACATCCAGTTTAAGAAATCAAATATAGTTACCTTCCCCTGTGTACCCTCCCTGATTCCACAAGTAGAGTTTTTCATAATTATAAAGTGATAGTTTTTTAATCTGACTCTCCTTAATTTTTATTTTTAACACCCAGAAGAGAAATGAAAAAAATTATTTTTGCATGTTTTGAATCAGAACCCATGCCTCAGGAACGCTAATTAAATTTATTTTACTTTAGTAAGAATCATCATAGCAATGGTTTCTTTTCTTCTTCTTTTTTTTTTTTTCAATAAGAAATTCTTAAGCCTGTGCTCACTATAGCTCATCTGAGTTGATCTGTGGCTCATTGGCTTTGGTCGCCAAACAGTTTTGTTGTAGAACCACGGAAGTGGTAGCTTTCTAAAGTTCTAAAGTGTGGGGTTTTTACCAGTCCCTCTTCTTACCTTCCTGCTCTTTGACCTTAAATGTACCATAATGTGAAATGCAACGGGATTCGCCTTGGTCAGCATGTGAGTTTCAGGAGACAATGGCGACCGTATCTCCGAATTTCTGTCTTTCCGATGAAAGACCAGACCATGCTGATGGCCTCAAGGGCACTCACCGTTAGACAATCCGGGAGATAACAGAATCTGTTTGAATCACTTCAGTAACCTTAGTTTCCATGATATGCTTGGGGAAAACTGTCTTTAGGCCAAAAGCAAAGAGCCCAATTTATTGAGAGATGGATTTTATCTCTTGAATAGCAGTCATATTATTATAGACTTTGCCAAAAATGGAAGAATTTATGAAATATTTATACTATGAAATGCAATAACATTCTACTTGTTTGTTACATTTAAGTCCTTATGTAACTGAATGTTTACAAGCCAAAAAAAAAAAGTTATAAGAAAATAGTCACAGACCCCCCACTGTGGCGTTGCCAGTGTACTGCTTGGTTACAATCTTTATAGTGCGTTTTTAATCACGTAACCTCAGAGTATCTTTACCAAAGATTTTTAAAGCAAATCTTTTTTAATATAGACTTATTATACTTTTATATAATAATGAATGTGCACACATACATATGCAGAAATATTTAGACTTAGATTTTTTTTTCTTTCACAAGGTATATAGTAAGGAAAGGATCCTACAATATTTTATTCCAGGATTTCTGAAACATATGATTTATATTGCTTTCTTGTCTTTTCTATTAATCATTTGGTTAAACAATGCCAAATCACTCTTTACTGTTTTAGTTCCATGTAATGTTGCCTGTAACAGAGATTGAAAGATCATATTACCTTAATGATTATAATTCTATTGTCTTTTGATATCGTATCTTAATTGTTGACATTTAAATTCATAATGTCAAATAATAGAAAAAGTCATAGAGTCTATTAGAGGAAGTTGGTAAATAATATACCAGTTTTAAAATTTTGTCAAGAACACACATATTTGGTAATTCTGTATAACATGAGAGACACGGAAAAAGGAAAAAAACCCACTCTGTCATGGGCTCTGCAGATCATTTCAAAATCATATTTGTTTGTTGCCTGAATCTGGAGATGTATAGACTCCTCAGTGTGGAGTCCTGTGTGCAAAGTTACCTTTAACATTTAAAAAGAAGTCACGGCTCCAGCATAAGGCACAAAGGCTTTAAGATGCTGGAAATCTCTGCAGCGCAAAGATGTGGGTTCTTTTTCTTGTCATTAACAAATTCTTTCTGTTGGAGCAACTTCTGTGATCAAAATGACTTCATTGGGTTTATGCTGATTAATGCAGTGGAGTGGTCAACCCTGTCATTGTTTTCTCACTATGAAAGATCCTTCAGAGATGCTTATGATGATGTTTCAAGTATATAGAACTCTAACTACGTTTAAACAAGTATTTTTATTTTGGTCCAGAGGAAGAAAGAGAAAGATCACTTCTACCATGAGGCTATAGTAGAGGGTTTTATGGAATATAGAGAGGACTCTGAAAACACAACTTCCCACAGTTTTCCTAGTTAGTAAAAATCCTGTTTAATGTGAACCATCCAGGAATAACAGTGTTATTTCTATTTGATATGATTTGGGCTTCTCTTGTCAAATCTGTGTCTGCTGCCCCCTGATCCCTCTGTTATCAAGTTCTGAAGGGTGTTGAGGAAATTACGGCAGCTGCTAGGAAGATCAGGGAAACACTGATGTAACCTCACAGCCTCTCAGCATTCCTTTTGGCTTAGAAAGGCTTTCTTTCCATATACATTTCTAGAAATATTGCTATACTACCTTAGTATTTCACATTTGTAGTTTAAACAAGCGATTGTCCATCTGTTGCCTAGAGCTACAGTACATGTGTGTTATGAAATACGACAGCATGTTCCATACCCTGCTTTAGCCATCTGTAGAAAACCAGTAGACTGAAAAAGATATACCTCTGTGAATGTTCCTCGAGTCCCTTCCTGAGATTGCTCTTTTGATGCACTTTCATGGGGATAATCAGAGAGCAACATATGCATGTGCCTTATTTTAAAAGAATCGTTACACTACTATGGATACTCTTCTGAAGCATCTATAACATGAATAGGAATCCCCAAATCTCAAAGATAGACTCATCAGTAAAGTCCAACAAAATCCAGAGAGGTCTGAACTCTTTATCTTAAACTCTTCCAATAGTATTTCTTTTCTCTTTTATGTCTTGGAAGTACCTTATTGATTCCTGAATTAGAGAAACATTCTTAACAGCCACAGTGTGATGTATCAGATATTGTTGGTGATTATGTTTGGTCTCACTCTGGTTTCAGTCAGATAATGAAGACAAGACTTCATGTTGAACCTTTAAGAGCCATTCAGCACGTCTGCTTTATTTTTAATTGCCATAGGTTTTTTTTGGTTTGGGTGTTGTTTAATTTAACAGTGGACAGAACAAGTTGAGAATTTTAGTTCTGAGTCATTACAGTGCAACCAGGAACATTTCAGGTCAGGTCATTTACTTGACAGATAACTAGAATGAAGTTTTTCTCATAAGGCTGTTATTTGGTTAGCATATAATTTTAAATATTTAAAAGATTATCTGATTAAAGCTCTGCAACTTGAGAATTCTTAATCCCTCCTTCTATCCCTTTTCTCCCTCCTTCCTTTCTCACCTTCTCTCCTCTCTTTCCCATCATACCTGCTCATTCTATCTTGCTTCAACTTTTCATAAATAAATCAGTGCATTACTGTCCTTATGCTATTATGATCATAATAAGGGAAGAAGGCTACCACAAAATACATGTGACATCCATAAACCCTTTCTTTAAAAGGGCATATTTTCCATATTGTGTTGATTTGCAAAATGAGATGAGATAATAGAGTCTTCGGGTTTTATTTTAATGAGTTTATATCAGGGACTCAGATCATGGAGTTCCTGGTAAATTCATTTATGACCACCCTCTTTCTCTCAGCTAAATACAAAGTGACCTTTCTAAGACTGGGTGAAGATTATTTTTCTTTTTAATCCACAGCATTTCTGACCAACAAAACAATGATATTTTTAGTGGTTGCATGTTATTTTATTCCACTGGAACTTGATAATGTTTCTTAAGGCAAGGGAAAACTATTCTCCTTCGCATTTTGCCCACGATGTGATATCAAACCTCAGTCGTTGAATCACAGTAATTTGCAAGAGGCAGGTCGGCACCTGAGTTATTCCTAGAGCACATGCTGCAGGCCTGGAGTCTGTTTATAAAAGCAACCCGAGGACGAGCCTTGGTCTGTCACTGAATTATTTTGTTAAAATTTGGGTCTGAGATTCTTTGAATTCTGGCTAATCCCGATAAAAGTATGCCCTCAGAATCCTTTCGTATGTTTGTTTGGAAAACTTAAAATTCCAGGACTGTATTTCCATTTTTGGTTTCTGTCCACATTTTCATTTTCTGCACATTTTCACAAGGTTGACATTGATTTTCCTTTTGGGGAGGGCCACATATGGGGGGAGAAAAACATAATACATATTTAATTCAATACGCAAATGAAATTGTCAAGGATTAATGAAAAGTCCCAGTCAGTATGTTTTGATACACAGACAGATTTTTGTTTGTTAGTTTTTGTATTTTTAAACCTGTCTCCAAGAAGAGTGGGATTCAGGAGGAGAAAGGGGGATTTGAGAGGAGAGGCCGTCTACAATTAAAATGATGGCAACACAGCTCTTGGATAGAGTAACTCTGAGAATTTTATAGGTGTTTTAGGGATCAGCAATCACAGCCCCTTAAGAAGGGAAAATATGTGTGTTTTCAGTTAATGAGGTATTTAAAAATCACCATGGCTGCTGCTAGGGTCCGTGGTGTGGCCATAACTGCACTAGAAATTTCACGATGCATGACCTCTCATCCCCTCCGATCGGGGCTTAGCTCGCCTCCTTCTGAGAGATGGTGATGCATATTCTGACACATGCTAGGCCAGCTTCACTAGACACCAAGCATCTCGGCAGGTTAGAGGTCTTTGTATTCACACAATGTTTTATCCCTCTCCAGTGAACTTACCTGGGGAGCACAGAAAGTAGGATTTTTTCTGGTCTGTTCTGGTCTGTGGTTGTCTTGTTCAAATCTAATCATCGACGTTCTGTACTGTCTTGCCTAACATCTATACTATAATTGATTTGTACTTGTTTTCTCTCTTTAGTGGCAAACACAGAAAAGGAAGTATAAAATGACATATTTTTCCTTCAATATAGAAAGGAAGGACACTTATTCCTTTCTCTGTTTTACTTTCCTGGCCCCTGTGCCAAAAAGTCGTGACTTTATTTTAGTTATTCAACATTCAAGTAGTTATTTGGGGGAAAAGTGTAGAAGATACATTTTTACTCAACTCAGTGACATTTCCCCTTTGAAGTTGCAAAAAATTACTAAAATCTTTGCTCTTTGTTCTGATTATTTAATGCACAGCAGTCTCTAACCACACTAATAAATATCTCTACGTCCAGCCTTTATAAAACAAAAATTAACACTCTATAAGCAAAAACATACACTAGAGAGGAGGAAACCCTACAGCTAATTCCTCTGTTAAACTTTAAGATGCTTGCATTAATACTTCCCTACTGTATGTCTTTGTTAATTTTTCCAAGGTTCCCACCCATTTGGGGGCAAGAGACAACTTCA